ACTTCTTTGCATTGTTTATATATTATTTACAATTTTATTCACCAATTTACTATTTTATTCCTATTATAATTCTAAAACAAAACTCGTTTGACGATTGAAATCGCAGGTATGTCATTTATCTGATCTTTTACATTGTATATGAATCTATTGTGCATATTTGGTGTGACAGACAAATACCAAATAACAATAGAACAATCTAATATTTGCGATGTAATTACAGAATCTTATCTACGGAAATATTTTCATTTGCAAGAAGGTTACGTAGCAAGGTTATGTTACAAGCACGTGGATTCTGTCCTAACAAACGTTTGCGCCTGTGTACAGCACGTATCTCCACCAACCACTCAACAAGCTTACCAACGTTCGTGAACCACTTGCACACCCATGGATGCGTGGTTTGCAGAAAGAAAGAGAGAAAGAAAACGACAGAAAGAAAGCTGAAGTAGAAGGATTCGTGACGGCTCAAAAGAAACTGTTTTTCAACCCTTCTTTCCTCAACTTTCTTCTTCTTTTTCCTCTTTTTTCTTTTCACACCTCGAGTCGTAACAAAGGGAAGGTAAAGGAAAAAAACTATGGAATAAGGAGGTTCGATCGTCGGGAAATCTTTGAACGGGTTCAAAGCGGTAAAACAGACGGCGAAGCGGACAAAACGTCGGGACAGAATCGAATAGTAAAAGGGAATCCATAAAATGGAGTCCGATTGACGGCGACCGTCGAGGAGGAAATGTACCACGAAGACGTTACGTCTGGCCGTAAAAAGGGAAGGAAAGGAATGGGGAAAGAGAAGCGATATTTCGAATCATCGTTGGAGCTTGGCGGACTGGAAGCCGCACAACGCATCTCTCTTCTATTCAACGATTTATCCAGAGAGATTCGGAGTGGGAGTGTGAGAGAGAAAGAAAGAGGGAGGAAAAATACTGAAGCGAACGATACTTTAATTCCTTTAGATTATAGAAGAATACGGAAAAGAATGATGAAGAAATGTAGCACAATATGCAGTTTCTAGAAAAGTTAAAATATTTATAAAAAAAAAAATTGAATGATAAATTAATTAACTTGATATGTTTGAAAATGTAAGTACAGAACAAAATATATGCTTTTTTGTTACTAACATAAATCAAAGTCAATGTAACTATATATTTTTCACTATTAACTTCTTTTAATTTTAGGGCTCGAGCACGACTTCTTGAAGAAGACAATCAACATTAACGAAGAAAAAGAAGAAGAAAAGGGAAGCTAATAGAAACACCAAAAGCGCTACATTATTTATTCATCTCTGGACGAGACTTGTTAAAAATGACTCTATTAATTCGAAGGATGATTTAACGAAGTGACGGCAGTTGCGTACCATAGCTTGTGTGTCCCCCTCTTTCTCCGTCCAGTCGAGCCTCTTATTTCATGACGTTTGGATAACTTAAGGTTGCCTCTCGCGAGCTCCTCCTGCGCTTTCGACCCTCGTCTGCTAATAGCAACAAGTTACTTCTGACCCGTCAGCGGGACAGACCCTTGCGACGCCTCTATATTTAGTCCGGGTCGAACCACTAGAGAACGGCGAGAAAACACAAAAGAAAGCTGGCGAACGGCGAAGAGCGCCAGCGAAACGAGTGCAAAGGGGACATCGTGATATCTCGCCGCGAAGATTCTGCCGGCCTGCAGCTTCTGGCTTGCAGCTGCTACCATGTCGCAGTAAAAACAATGTACATAGATACGCCAGACAAGCCGAAAGGGCTGGCCTGGCCTCGCTGACATGGCCAGTACGAGGATATCCACGAGATCTGGATAAATTCCCTTGAATTCCTTGTCGTTTCATGCGTGGTCGAACGGCAAATTTATCTTTGCGAAAATGTAATTATTTCGAGATTATTACGATATGGAAGTTCGTTTGAATACGATGGTACATTTCACACGAGTGAAATTTGTGCAAAATTTCACATTGATTAGTTTCAATATAATTATAAAGGATATGTTATTCGTATCCATTTATATTGTACAATGAAACATCTTATCAAGTTCTGCATTTCATACGAAGAACACTAAATTTTCTTAATCACGTAAGTGTATTATTAAATAATGGAATACTTTATGATCGAATTTAACTAATATATATGTAAATATTAGAATAAATATAGTAATGTGCAAATATATTTTACACCCACAATAGAAATTCAGGAAGTAATTGTTAAATGAAATTGAAACAATGAAGTCATTTGATTGATCTTGAAATTGTGACGGAGTATATAATCTTGATTCAGTATAATTCAAGAATTCATGATGAAATACAAAGTAAAATAACTAATGAAATACAAAGTATGTGCATATATGATTAACAAAATTATGGAACTTTCAGTACACGAACGTTACCATCTCTGAAGAATGAAGATTAAAATACGAGGAATTTCTTATAACAAAATTGAAATGATTAAAATAATCTGTTAATATAAAAATACTCGAATATGATGTAGAAGGCTTTCCATAACTAAGACGTGATAGCTTTAATAATATTGTTTTGAGAACATGATCGCAAAAATAGCTCCAAGAGCGG